AGTTACAAAGGCAGTGTTTATTGAAACCCATCTTACTTTCAAAATTGAGCTGTTCGAGTGTATATACATTTTGGCGGGGGACACCCTGTATATTTAGACTTGTCAGCAAGATGGTTTTATTTAAAGCCATAGGACAGTTTGGGTGTTTCCACATATATTTATGCAGTGAAGTTTCACAAATGCTCTGAATGTCGGAGGGCTGCCATTTTCTATGACCAGTCACGCTCCATGTGTGTGTGTAGGGGGTTGGGCGGTGGACGGAGCCATAGGCATTAGTGAAGAAGACGTTTCAGTGTTGAGCAGAGGCCACTTACTCGTGTTCCTGCTTCCCATCTTTAGTGATCACAGATCTAAGCTTCCGGTACAAGTGATTGAGCTTCTTAGAAAGTAGGCTCAGGTTTTTGGCTCTTCATTTTAAAGCGATCAAGATTCAGGATTTGAGAAGAAACCTTGGAATTTTAAGAGACATGAAAGCAGCTAGATCAGGGCACATGGAACGTTTAAACAACTCTTGATACTTTGTCCAGATCCTTTACTATAATAGATGAAACATGTCTAATTAAATCTCTAGACAAAGTTGACTCTGTATCTGTGAGTGTGTTGTGGGCACGGAGAAGCGCTCAAAGGAAGGCGGTCCCGAGACGACCTCCAGCAGAGTCTGCACAGGGCGGCGTGAGCTCAGGGCTCGAACCCGCGCTGTGGAGGACGACGAAGAGGGACTTAGACCAGAACGCCTGGGTCGCTAGAGGCTCTCGATGCTCTCATCCGCTGCTACCCAGGCGAGGTCCTCTGTCAGCCCCGAAGGCGGGGTTTGCTTCTCCTGGAGGCATGTTACAGTGGTGTCGTGGTGGTCCCATTTTATTTTCCTTTAAAAATTTTTTTTCTTCCCCACCTCCTCCCCTTTTTTTCCTTTTTCAAATATATTTTTTTTATTGGTTTCAGAGAGGAAGTGAGAGAGAGATAGAAACATCAATGATGAGAGAGAATCATTGATCGGCTGCCTCCTGCACGCCCCACACTGGGGATCGAGCCCCCAACCCCAGGCATGTGCCCTGACCGGGAATCGAACCTTGACCTCCTGGTTCATAGGTCAACGCTCAACCACTGAGCCACGCCGGCCGGGCTCATGGTGGTACTTTTGTCCTCTCCAAGTTAGAGGAGGTGGCGGGGAGTCCGGGGAAGGCGCCTCTTCTAGAATTTGTGAAGAGCTAGAATGTGCGTGCCCTGGTACCTCCCTCTCTGTGCACCTTTTTAAGTAACACCCCGACCTCCGCGCCTCCACATTCATGAGTGATTCAAAAAGCAAGACCCTCCTAATAAACGTACAAGCCAGCACCTCATAGCTGAACACAGTGCCCGAGAAACGCATTCAGGGGTGAGTGTCTGAGTGCCTTGCCTAGTTCTGGGACCCACTGTGCACAGATGGCAAGGTCCCTGTGCCTGT